CAACCAGAGCGCCGCCGCGCGCACCGGTGCCGGCTCGGCCCGCCGCCTCCGGCTCCGCGTCTCCGCTCGCGCTCCGCCTCCCGCCGCCTCCCTCCCATTCCCTCTCTCCGCCTGCCTCCTCTTCCCTCTTCCTCTTCCCTCCCTCCTCCTCGCTCCTTCCTCTTCCCTCCCTGTCTCCTCTCTCCCTTCTCCCTTCTCACATTAAGGCACGCTCCGTTTTCTTCCGTTTGACTCCAGCCGCCTTGAGGACAGCGCCGAGTGGGCAGCCTGTCTCCAAGTGCCCTCTGGACAGGTGCCCATTGTGCGCGACCCCCTCTGGCTGCAGGGCTGGTCTCCTCCCTATGTGAGGAGAGTCCCATAGCGACCCCCTCTGGCTGCAGAGCGGGTCACCTCCCCATGTGACCAGATTCCCATAGCGACCCCCTCTGGTTGCAGGGCTGGTCACCTCCCCACGTGGGCAGTTGCCGATAGTGACCCCCTTGGCTGAGAAGCTGAGGACCGCCCCGCACTGGGTGGCTGGCCCCTCAACAGTAAGCACTGGCTGGCCTGGAGCCCCAGAGCTATTGTTGTGGTTCTTACCCAAACCCAAGCACCACTTAGCGCTGAGAAAATGCCCCCAGGGTCTGCCGTCTTCATTTAATTTGAATAGGAACTGGGAAAAGTTCCTTCTCTTTCAAGCACATCCTTCCCCTAAGTTTTCTGTACATTCTTGGGAGTGACAACCTCTTCCAGCTGCACCCGGAGCTGAAATGGCAATTTTATTTCTGTCCTTAGTGTAGCTGGAGTGAGGATTACCCAGCCACCAGCTTTTTGCTGGTTTCAGCACTGTTCTGGTCAGCAGACCCCTCCTACTCTTTGTTAATCGCTACAGGGAGTGTGGGAAAAGCAGGAGGGATTTCAGGCAGCTGTGACCTGCAGATCACAGAGGGGGCTGCCTCTGCAGCTCCCGGATTCTCTTGGGGCTCTCCCAGAGGGAACAAGGGGAAGTGAGAGCTGGTAAATGCCAGGTGGTTCTCAGTGCCTGTTGCTTTTGGAAGCGAGCGTCGAAACCAGCCGGAGAATGCACTTATTGTTTAGTTCTAAGTGAATTCCAAGCCACTGCTTTCCATCTGTTGAATGTCTGGGTTTTGCTTATTGAGAGAGTGCCTGGTGCACACAGGCTCCTCTCCCTCCAGGCCTGCCCCAGCTAGGCTGACTGCTGTTGCGCCCAGCGGTCATTGCTTTTCCCTTCCCTGGCCATCTGGCCTCCACCTGATGCACAGTCACTGGCTTTCCAGACTCCTCCATGGCCACCTGGAGCACTGGCCAGGCTGGAGCCCTGGCGAAGACGAAGTTCATCTTCCTTAGGTGAAGCGGTCTTCTTCAGCCTTTGGACAGTCCAGCACGTGTCACTTCATCTCCCTTGCCAGCCTTCGGCGTGGGGGATGGGGGGGTGGCTTTCAAAGAATGATGATGGCTTTGAGCTTGCCTCCAGTGCAGTGAAGGGACCACATCAGAGCTTGGACACCAGGAGATTTGCTTTACTAGTGACTGGGGGTGATAAGGGGCAGCTAGGAAGCCTTTGAGTTTGGGGGTGAACCCAGTTGGGTGGTTACAGTGGCCACCTGACTCACGATTGTGATAATGTGTGAGAAAATTGACGTGAGCACTATGATCATAGTTCAATTTCGCTGTTCAGTATTTGGATGCTATTTGGGCTAACCCAGCAACTGCTCTGCGGGGTGGGTGTGCTGTCTGGCATGGCAGTCTCACTGCCTGGCAGATGGCTCATTAGTTTGGCACTTATTTATTCCCCATGTCCTATTGTCATCTGACCTGGCCCTCTCAAATCATCTCCTTCTAGTGCCTGGGAAAGACCAGTGCCCAAACACGCTCTGCAGAGCCATTTCCCTGCCGACTAGAGGGTGTGGTTCTGTGACTGGGCATCTGGCACCACGCGGGGCAGGCCTCCTCCCACTGCCTGGCCGATTCCGTATTCAGAATATAATCGCTCCTGTGAGTATCTGATCGACTAGACTGCTGTACAGATATTCAATAATGAGACAGCAGCCATTGTCGTAAGAGGAGCACTTGCCTCCACCTCCTTCCCCCGTGGAGCAGAGGCTCTGGCACCGTCAGTACTGTCCTTACTGTGTGTTGGTGCTGGGCACTCAGCAGAGAATAAACAAAAATCCCTGGCATTTTAGTGGGAGACAGACAAGATGGGATAAATAAATGTAACACGCAGCGTGTCAGATAATAATTCATGCAGAGGAGAACAGTCTTGTGGAGAAGGAGAAAAGATATAAAATGTGGGGAGCTGACATTTTAGAGAGAGCAGCCAGGCATAGGCACAGAGGAGTACAGACTTGACAAAAGAGAGGGAGCAAGGAAACTGTGAATATCTGAGTAAAGAACCTTCTAGCAAAGAGAGCAGCCTCATGCCAAGGCCCCTGGCACAGGCGGCCAGTGTGACTGGAGTGGAGGGAGGGAGTGGGCAAAGGGAGGACTGTAGTGGGATGTGAGGTCAGAGCGGTGAGGGGGTGGCAGGTCCCCGTGTGGACCATGCGTGGGACTTGGTTTCTGTCTGTGGGATGCGAGCCATGCAGGAGGTTGAGCAGAGGAGGAATGAGGCCTACTCATGTTTTCACGGGATCATCGGCTGGCTGTGGCTGCGGCGTGGAGAACGCACTGAAGGGGGAGGAGCCGCAGCAGGGGCCCAGCGAGGAGGCTGCTGCAATGATCTGCAAAGGATGAGGGGTTTGGACCACGGAGGTGAGAAGTGGTTGGATTCTGCATTCAATTTGGAGATTGTTCCGGTCTTTCGTTTCTGCTCGTTGCTCAGGTTGGCATTATTTCTGCTTTTTGCTCTCCTTCCTTTTCGTATAATGTGGTTCATGCTCCTTCATCCGCCTTCCCCTCTGCGCACCACATCAGCTCACGGGTCTCCTTGACCTGCATTCCTGATTCCGGGCCACCGGGAATGCAGCCAATGTAAGTTCCCAGAATCAAGATAAAAATGAAAGAAACCTCCTTCCTCTGCCAGGTGGGCTGGAGGTGGAGCCTGGGTGGAGCAGGACGCCTGTGGCTCTTGTGGGAACTTGGGGACTGAGTTCACTGGCCCAGGGGGAGTTACTGGGAGGGAAATTTCCAACTGTCTAGGACGTCAGAGTGTGAGATCCTGCCCAGTCTCACAGGAAAGGGGGTGGAGGTGAAGGAGCTTCTGGAGGTGCAAAGCCACTCGGCTGGGTCCAGCCTCCGTCTTCAGCCCCCGGAAGGACAGCAATTTCTTCTGGTACCGTCTAGCCTGCACACAGGCTCATTCTCCTATGCAGGGCTCACTCCTTAGTTGCCATAAAGACCTTGCCTAAGAGGAATTTCAAATTAAGGCATCAGAGCCAAATTGAAGATCACAGGGGCTGAGCCGAGACTGTGGCATGAGAAGCCCGGTGCTGGTTCCCCGCAGCTCCTCATCTCCGGCGAGAGGGAACAAAGCCACACTGAGGAGGAAGAGGAGGGTCTGTCCCTGCCATCACAGAGTGGCAGCCTCCAACAAGGATGCAGAGATGGGGAAGGAAGTTGGGAGCATGAGGGAAGAGTCTAGAGGGTGTATCCAATGGCGAAGGAGGTGTCCGTCCAGAGGGGCGGGACCGGGCCAGGCAGAGCATCCTCCCCTGCAGCCGGCAGCGCCCCTGGACGGGTGGGCCAGGGAGATGGGTCAGCAGGCTGCTGCTGTTCCAGCCCCGAGGGCATCTTCCTCCTGCCTGTTCTCTCTTGGGTCCATCTGGTGTTGTCAATGACTATTCTGAAAATAATCCAATCGCTTCCAATGCCAACTCTTCTGAACCAGGGGTGAGGTGGCGGGGGACAAAATGAATTCGTCCAACAAGCAAAATGCATTAAGAGCCTACTACATAAAAGGCACTGAGCAGGCCTCGTTAAAGGGGATTGGAGCATGCTAGACGCTGGCAACACTATGAGAGGATTAAAATTAATGAGCTGGTTGGAGGTAAGATGCTTTACATTCTGCAAGCCTTACCATTGGCCTCTTGGAGGAATCAGCCTGTTTTGAGCATATATAATGAACATCCCATAAATCGCTCTAAGTTCTGGGAAAGCCATTTGCCAGGATGTACCAAGAGTGAGAAAGTGTGCCCTTTGACCAGTCTGCCCTAAGCATTTAGTGCAAAGGGAGGAAAAATCTTGCCCAAAGATAACCAGGGCAGCATGTTTTCATGGTACTTGAGTTATGTGCACATCAACTTGTCTCTTTTTACAGCTTTGGTGATAAACAAAATTATTACTAGTTGTAAATATTTCAAATAATGTAGCAGAGAAGGCAAAGTCCCATCCAGGTCAGAAAATGGAGATCCACTCCTGTCTTAATTGTTGTCTTGTGGATCTCTGCTACGCACATTCTCTCATCTATTAAGTGGGTTCCCTATGTGCTAGGCATTGAGGCTTTCCCGATATTTTTCAGTTGTAAACAATGTAAAAGGAAGACCCCCAGGTATATCCTTTGGTAGCTGTGCTGCTATTCCGTAGAACTGATTCTCGCAAGTAAGATTTCTGCATAAAAGTATATACACATTTAAATTTTTGATTTTGCTGAATTGACCTCCATAATGGTAAGTGGTCTGAACATCCAATTTCAATGTAGGGGGGCGTTCCTCACACCAACAAGCAATTCTTGGACACCAGCTGGGTGTCCTACAATTCAGCTCAATTCTGACACTATCTACCTGGAGATAGCATCAGATCCCAGAAGTTAAGGACTCAGTCCGACAAGACTGACCACCCCCTCACCCCGATTTCGCAAGTTCAGGTTGTCACCTGTGCTTCTGACCAGTGGGCTATAGATGGGAGGTTCCAATGACCCCCTCCTTGGGTTCGATTAATTTGCTGGAGCTG